TGACGTCGGTTACTGCAAACGTATCCGTTGTCGGTCTGCCGTCGATCCCGCCGTGTTCTGGTAGTCGCAGGCCCTTCGTTCCGCAAAGTGCTCGCTTCAAGAATTGGCGTTTAGGGATTTATGGGGGGTGCGGCAAAGCATCACCAGCTTCTGTGCACACGCCAACCACCCGTTCCAATAGCTGCAGCCGCGCGAAAACCTGTTACTCGCTGCACTCACATCCGCCAAGTTCGGATCCCGGCGGACTTTGAGAATCCTCATGCATCTAACCGTCCTTCGGATGAGGCGTGGACCTTTTCGTGCGAGTTGGTCCAGGGAGGAGTGTTGGTGCACAAAATTCATCGCCGCCTGGAATGCCCGCGTAGGGTGTTTATGGGGGTGGCCGTCGGTGACAGCAGACGTGACCTTCATCGGTAAGCCGTCGATCTATGTTGCCCCCTACACTTACATCTTGCCCAAATGATCCATACGGCCACTACCAAGCAGTCCGAATGGATGAGCAACTTCGTCCAAATGCAGGCCGCTCACATGGAGCGGATGGAACAGATAATGAGCAGGCTAATTAAGCCTAACCCGGCCCCTGCTCGACCTGCTCCTGCGTCATTCCCACTCTTGCCTGCGCCGCCTGCACCAGGGTACGCACCTCAGTTCCCTCACCCCGCTAATCCTGCAGGAAAGATCGAGTGTTTTAACTGCAAACAGCCCGGACATTTCGCCCGAGACTGTCCGCAGCCAAAGCGTAATCAGACCCCACCTGCCGCGGCCCCTGTGACCCTGAATCAAGGAGGAGTGGCCGCGCTGATGGATACAGCCCAAGGAGGAGAGCTCGTGGCGTATGCCCCAGAACAACCTTCCCCCTCGATGGCAATGGCATCGACATCGGGAGCTTCTTCCTCTGACGCTGCTGACGTGGTCGATCCACTTGAGTATCTTCATCTTGCAAGCATGATCGGAGCGATCCGATCGGCCCCTGATGATCTCGAATGGGTCGATCGCGAGTCCAATCCTGGTCCGCAGTTTCGGACAGGGGAAATTGCTGTATTGAGAGCACTGAAGCAACTAGATATTCACGTGCCCATCCCAGTAGGACATTTGCTCACCATATCCGAAGCTGCAAATGATAAACTTCTGCAGCATTGCCAGAAAAATCAGAAGCGCTTCACTTATCAGTGCATACAGCGAATGTTGAAAAAAAAGGAAGAAGGCGATGATGCTGCATCCCCCAAGCCTGACACAGGGGAACCGGAACCCGAAGCCGCACGTATAGCAGCGATCTCTTTAGCCGAGAAGGATCACTTCGTACGAACCCGACCAGTGTTATGGAAAAACGCGGAATGCGATTGCGAAGTTTTGGGCAAACCGTTTAACGCCCTCATTGATACAGGGTCGTCCGCAGTAGCCACATCATTAGAAACCGTCCGGAAGACAGGACGACTCGGATCCATTCTCCCTCAATCTGGCAAAGACCATTATGTCTTGCCCGACGAGGAAGCAATGAACATCGTGGGCATTATTGCGAATGTGGCTGTAAAGGTCGGACGCGTACATGTCCTTGTTAACGCACCAGTAATAGATGTGCGTTCCTTTTCTGTATTGTTGGGATTGCCTTGGGCAATGGCGGCAGGGGCCCGTCTGCATTTCGATTCAAAGCAACTGGTGCTCACAGAAACTGGGGGAAAGCCTCAAACTGTTCCCTTGCGAATTTCCACCCGAACAGCGAAACGAACTCCTGACTCGGCCCAAATAGGGTTGATCAGACGCATCGACCCCAAGGAATATTCTTCCTCGGACATCGGTAGCGGAATCGGGGAACAGAAATACAAAGAAGAGCTGCCTAGTGAGGATGAATGGAAGCACCTGGTCGAGCTCTTCGAACACGAAATTCCCAAAGAATTTCGAGTGCGCCCCGACACTACCCGAAGCTTCCACGTGGACTCCGGAGATAGCACGCTTCCGGCCCCAAAAACCCAGGTCAGTCCTTCAGTCCTCCTCGGGGAACCCACATTACAAGTATCTGACCTGGCCGATGATTGGGAACCCCCTCGTACCTTGTATGAGGGAGCACTTTCCTTGCCAACGCGTTATCAACAAACGGAACAATATCTTGACGTTTCGATTTTCCCGCCCAGATCATTGCTAACGACAGGGCGACCATCGCGTTGATTAAACAGCAAGTAGACACGCCGGTAGATGACGTGCCTGATCTAATGCAGGAGATGACGGACCTAACAGGACAGACTGTGGAACAAACTTCAGCCGACTCAGAAACTGACGCCGAAACCAAAGAAACCGAAATGATCAGCCCCGCCGAATCACAGATGATTGCGACTTTCTTCTCTGTTCGCACCAGTAGTTCTGTCTTTTCGAGTGTCTACGATCGACCGGAGCGGCCGGTTGATTGGATCGACGTACCCCTCAAGACTCCTGGGGAATCAACGATCACCCTACCGAACCACGTCCTCACGGAACTACGAAAGTCATTAATCAATGTTTTAAACGGTTATGCGGAGGTGCTGAGCGTGCATGATAACGATATTAACCTGACTAACGTGATCGAGCATGCCATCCTCACGGGAGATCATCCGCCCATTAACTGCGCTCCTTATCGATACTCGCCAGCTCAAAGAGCGGCCGCTTTTCAGCGGATTAAAGAGTTCGAAGCTCATGGGTGGATCGAACCCGTCATAGGTCCATGGTCTTTTCCAATGGTAATCGTGCCTAAAAAGGCCGGAGGGATTCGCATTTGCATTGATTATCGAAAATTGAATGATATCACGATCAAAGATGTATGCCCTCTCCCCCGGATTTATGAGTTGTTGGATGCGATTGGGAGTGCTCGATTTTTCAGTAAGTTTGATGTTCGCCATGGGTTCCATCACCTTCTTGTCCGGGAAGAAGATCATCCGAAAACGACATTTGTGCTTTTCGAATGTACGTGGTAGTGGATTCGATGTCCAATGGGTATCTGCAATGCCCCCGCGACCTTTCAGCAAGCCATGAATATGGCTTTTCAGAATTTCGTGCGGAAGAGTCGTTTGGCGCAGAGCATCATCAACTACTGCGTGATTGTGTACATGGATGACATTATGGTGTACTCGAACTCCTACGAGGGACACGTGCAGCACATCGAATGGGCTCTGTATGCATTACGAGATGCGGGCTTCAAGGTGGCGCTTGAGAAGTGCCAGTTTTTTCTTACCACTATTTCCTTCTTAGGACACGTGGTAACAGACAAAGGGCTCCAACCAGAGCCGGAGAAGGTGGCAGCTGTTAGAGATGCGCTGGTGCCTACGACTATCACGCAAGTTCGCGCCTTTTTGGGCCTGGCCTCGTACTACCGACGATTTATCAAGAACTTTGCGGCGATTGCAGGACCCCTCACAAATCTGCTGAGCAAAGATCAGTCGTTGATCTGGACGCCGGAGTGTGATCAAGCGTTTTCGAAACTCAAGGCCGCTCTCATTTCGGCTCCGGTCCTTATAAGGCCGGATCTTGAAAAGCCTTTTGTTCTCATTACTGACTGGCAGCCCGAGGCAATTTCGGCGATCCTGGCACAGATGGGACCAAGTGGACTCGAGAGCGTGGTGGAGTATGCGTCCAAAACGCTGCCCGCCTGCAAGCACAACTACGCCGCTCCAACGGGAGAATGCTACACGGCTCTCTAGGGAATCAGTCACTTTTGCGCTTACTTGTACGGACGAAAGTTCACCTTGGTAACTGATCATGAGCCCTTGTTGGCTCTGAAGAAATCGAAGGATTACTCTTGCATGATCGGGCGATGGGCAACGGTGCTGCAGAGCATGGACTTTGACATTCGTCATCGAAAGCACGAGAGACACGGGAATGCGGACGGATTGACACCTGTGTTACCGCGCGTTCATTGAACGCGCGTTTTGCGTTCAGTTTATGAACGTGGTGAACGCGCATTCACTGAACGCCCTTGAACGCGTTTGACGCGTTTGCGCAGGGGGGGCTGAAGGGGCTATGAGGGTTGGGGAGGACCCGGGAGGTGCCTGCCAGGGCACTGTGCCGTCAGGGGAGCCTGTGGGGTCCAGTTGGGAGGGTCGTCAGGTACAAAAAAAA